CATTAGAATGGAACTTATGTAAATATTTAATTTCTTATTTGTTGATTATTTAAAATAAATTAATTTATTTTATCGCCTCTTCATTTTCCTGAAAAAGAAAAATAAAATTTAATTATATTGATTTTCATCTGACCATATGTTAACAATAAAATCTTTTCTTGTTTCTATGTTAAAAAATGTATTCTCTTTAAGAATACATTTCCCGTCTATATGGCATGTGCAACATAATTATAATAAATTTTTTAATTTATCACGTATGGAATGTTTCCATAAGACACAAAACTCTGCAAGCTTTTAATTATAATAAAAAAGCTTTTGATAAAAAAATGAAAAGGGAAATCATAGATAAACTATTGTCAATTGGATGATCAAATAGCAACATGTCATCAGAAATCATCTATGATCTCTTAGAAAATCTCATTTTCTTTCTAATTCGTAATCTATTTAAAAATGAGCTTAATTTTTGTTATATAAGATTTAATAATGTGTTTTTACTGCAAACTTAATTTAATGTTATTAAAAAATATACAAAATAAATAACTGCACAAACCAGGTAAAAGTTTTGTCATGTTTGCATTAAATTTTAACAAATATAATGAGAAATAAATTAAATAAGTTTAACTCATAAAAATAAAGCTCAAAACGGAATTAAGAAAACATAGAAAACGAATTAAAAACACGTTTCGTGATCTCAACACTGCCGTTCACCACGAAATTTAATGAAATAGTCTAAATATAAAATAATATTTTTCAACTGCAGAAACATCCGAAAAGTCATGCAAAACTAGAAAAGTTCCATTAAATTTATAACTTATTACTTTCATCACATATTGCTTAATGAATGTTTAGAAAACAGTCAGAAACCACTTTCCCTGAAATCATTTAACAAACTCTGTGTCATGTAGAGAATATCATTATGAGGATCAAATGGATACACTGAAAAGATTGTCTTTAATTAATGGAGACTATGGTATTCTTATGAATACAAAGGAAAGAAAACTAAATGGAAAGAGAATTTTGAAAAAATGATATTTTTATATAAATTATGATGAAGATAATTGAATGGTTTCGGCTTTGATACAAAATTGTGAATTCATATGAAAGCAACGCATATTTAAATACACAGAAGCAAACACAAAATAAATATCCACAAGAAGCTTATAATCATGAGTTAATGTTAAACATACCGCCAGAACACATCTTAAATATTAAGAGATAAGTTTAGTTGTAGATTTTTATGTTGCCTACGCATTTAAAATAAAAAGAAGACATAGTAAATTTAATTAACATTACTAACTTATTTTTCTTTACATAACAATTATTAATGCGATAGTATTAATAACTACAATACTGATCTGGTTTTGATTTTGTACGACCGACAAATAAAAAATTTAATTTCAGGCTAAATCAATTTTGAAAGCATTTGCTTCAGTAAGATTGATACATTTGATAAAAAAACTTAAAGTCGCAATTAGATAATTTCATGAATTTCAAGATAGCAAAATTCAATTTTAATATCATCATTTCTCACTTCGTTGGAATGTAATGATCATAATGATTTGAATAATAACTGCAAAGATAGAAATAAAGATAGGTCACGAAAGTTTGATAAAAAGTTTATTTTTAGCCGGAAATAAAGTAAGTATGTTTAATATATCTTTTAGAGGTATATAAACATATATGTATAAGAAGAATCACCAATTTCGACAAACAAGTAAACTAATTAAGCAAAGTTGACAACTATGAAGTTCTATTTTTCTTTTGGAATATTCAATACTTGTTAGGTACTTTGTAACTTTAACAAAGTCGAATCAACTGAAATAATGTTTACTGAAGAGAATAAACTTTTTCTTAATTTAATTCATTAATTTTATTAAACTAGGACTGCTGCAAGATTCCTGGAAAAGTTGACCAAATAATAATAAAAGAACCTTTGGGATCAGTTTCAGACACAAAATTATTTCATTTTTCAAAAAGTGCGTAAATATTCATTTGCTTTGATTTACTTTACGTTTTAATTAGGTATTTATTTATGAAAATTCAGGTTTTTCTTTAATTTCATAGAAAATGTTGAAGAAATTTAGTTTAGTCACTAACGATGGAATGAATTGTGACGCGGGATTTAAATACATTAGAACTAAAGTCACGGATTCAGAGTTGAAGAAAATTATGAATGATTCTTTTGACAAGTTTTGTGTAGAAGCACCCAAATATGCTCCAATAAGACAGCAATTGACGAATATTGCTAAGTCAGTGTATTGTTTTATTTGATGCCATAAGTGATTGTATGCAATTATTGATAATTAATGTAAGAGTTAAAATCAAGCATGTAATGATGGGACAAATTTTATAAAAAAATTGCAGTAAAGATATTGAAGCAATGAATAAATTTATATTTTATCAGACGCAATATTCAAAACATATTTTGAATTCAATATGCTCTTAAAATATGTTTTATTTTTCATGATCTTCAACTTCAGTTAAACTTTTATTAAATTTTCGCTAGAAATGTTTTTTGTTTTTATTATAAAAAAGTTTATATGAGTTTTAAATTTATTTAGGTTTTTTTGCTAACATATAAGAGACACATGATCGATTATATCTTATCGTTTCTGTTAATACTCATCAAAACTAAATTTATTAGTATTTTTTTATTCTATTGTGTAAATTTTTATCATTAAACCAGAACAAAAAAAGTGAACAAAAAAAATAATGATACTCATTTTTAATAGCAGCGAAATGTATAAAAGCAGAAGCAACAGAGACTCACAAATAATAAACACAATTCTACAGATAAGTCATGAATATTCTTTTTGTTAATATTATTGTCGTTTGTTTTCTTGTAAGCATTTAATTATTATTAAATCAGGCAAATTCAAAGAAATCAAGCTAATGATTAGAAATTATTTTTAGGTTGGATTTATAATAGGAGGCGACCCTGCTTGTGAAAATGTCCCAAAGACGAAAATTGATGTAAATTAATTCTAATTTTTGATTAGACTATTCCTTAATTTTCTATCTCTATTGTTGGAAATTCAGGAATGTTGCAAAATTCCCAAAGCAATCGATGATAAAATAATCAAAGATGTTAGCACAAATGTTCAAGCGATGGAAGGAACGCCAACGTTTAAAAAATGTGTAAGATTAATACATGCATATAAGACTTTACTATGAGAAATATTTAATATAGCTTACCTGTACGCATTACAGAAAATGAGCGAGGAAATCTTCAAGAAATTGAATTTAGTTGTCAACAATGATATTGATTGCAATGCCGGTTCTCAATTTGCTGAAAATAGTATGTCAGATCCTGAGTGGAAGAAAGTGATGAAGGAAGCATTTGACGGCTGTTGCATTGAAGCACCTAAACTTGCGGAAAAATATCAACAATTGGTACAATTTCCTAAGGATCAGTGCAATATTTTATTTGATGTCATTATTGATTGTGTGAGACTCGTTTCTTTTGCTGTGAGTACAAAAATACAAAAAAATTCTTTTATTTTTTGTGTTAATTGAATGACATAATACTTCATTAATATCTAATGTCTTAGACATGTCCTAAATCCTCTTGGACCGATAGTCAAGTTTGTAACGATGGCAAAACTTTCACCCATAAGTGTGGAAATGAGCTTGAAGCTATGGAAAAATTCATGATGAACCAGTATGCATAAAAAATGAAAGTTTCAAAAATATTAAACTTTAATCAATGTCAGAAATAAAGAATTTCTATTAAAACTTACTTAGTAACAAAACGGATTAAAATATTTAATGTAGATATTAGGTATAAATAAAAAAGGAATCATCAAAATTTTAATGAATCACAAGTTAACGCCGAATCATTAAAGATTTTTTGTTTCAGATATTTGTTTAAATGACGAATTTGTGTATGAGTTATGTTCAAATAATTTGTTTATCTACTATTCCCGTTTTACTCAATTGAGTTGTTTCAGTATTTAATTTTATTCAGAATTAAAAACATTAAAATGAGTCGCTGTGCTTATAAAAAAAGATTAGCAAAATTTTGGGGATATTTTGTAGTATTGTGCAATAAGATCTTTATAATAAATATGTCAATTTTTTTTAATAATCATTATGATCATTATAATCGAGAAAAGATTTTCAAAGTGCCAATCATAATTGGATGTACTGGTTTGTGTTTAGCGTTTTCATACTTAACAGTTGGCTTTCTCTTCCAAGGCTTAAATCGGGTTTGTGTTAATTTATTCATAGCATTTGTTTTTTAGAATGTTTTATGGAAGTTTGTTTTCTTACAGAATATCCCAAAATATCTTAAATGGTTCAGGATCAATTTAATTCTATCATCATCTTATATATTTGTATTGATACTTGTAATAGTTTTTGACTGTTGGTTGGATTTTGATGTTCATCATTCAATTTGCGAACGAAATATATACACAAATATTTCACTTATCGTTTTTGGATCCTTGATTATCATAATAATTTGCATATATGATTTTATACATGATCTTGAAAATCAAATGAATCATGAATTGAAAAAACACTTCTCTCTAAATGGAAATTTACTTGTTGCCTCTGGTGATGTCACTCTCCGAAATAAAGTTGAATTCTCAAATATCAGTGAAATAGCCATTGATGCCGTCAAACTAACATCATCACACTTGTCATCTCAAGGCATTTATAATCACTATGAAAATATTGTTATTTCTAAACACTGATACTCATTAACCTTAAGGTTTGACTAAAAATCTGAAAAAACCAAACGGCCACGGTGTTTGATCATAAACTACTAAATCTATAGAAAGCTTCAACGACAATGAGTTTAATTTTATTTACCTTATAAATAATCTATCATGCTTCCATTCTGTTGCAACTGTTCAGACCAATTTTCGTAAAATTAATTTAATAAAAATTTGTTTTTCAAAATTTGAAGCTCATTAAATAAATTTTTGTAACATTGATTTTTTTTGAGAAAATCGTTATTTGTTGGATTAGAAAGTTGATTTAAATCAATTTTATCTTTTAGTCTGTCAACAAGCGATCTGATTATTCGGATTGACGATGAAGTTCCAAGCTTTATTTTTATTTTATCTGTTAATATGTATTCAAAATATTTATTGTGACTATGATTGCTGCGAAGTTCCGCAAGTTAAAATCAATGTGAAAAATTAAAATAAACATTTAAAAAAGAAATTTAACAAAATTCAAATTTTCTTTAGGAATGCTGCAGAGTGCCTGATTATGTCACAGGAAAAATCATCAATAAAATTCACTACGAGTTGGTGAAAGCTCCTGCAATGGCAACATATTTGAAAGCTTGTGTATATTTTTGTATTACTATATTTGATAAAACGATTGAAAATATGAATATCCTCTCAGAAATTATTCGAAGGAGTCTTCAGGAAATTAAATTTATTGAACGGGAAAGAAATTGATCAGGAAGCAGCTAGAAAACTTTTCGATATTCAACTTAAAGATCCTGAATGGAAATATTTATTTTCCCGTGCCCTTAAATCCTGTCTTGATGATGTTAATTCGCAGTTAGATGATGATTTTATTGAAGTAGCTGCTAAAGACGATGATAAGACCGATGAAAAATCTATTTCAACTTTGAGAAAAGATTTTTGTGACAATCGATACACAGCAACTGTGGAATGCTTAAGAGTTATCTCGTACATGGTGAAATTAGTTTGCTACATAATTTTAAACCTTATTACATTTTAGATTTCTTTTAACGCAGAGTTGCAAACACATAGATTGGGATAAGAATCCAACATGCCACAAAGCTAAAGAGTTTCTCGAAAATTGCGAACATGATGCTGAAGCAATGAACAGATTTTTTGGGTTTCAAAGATATCTTTATTAAAATAATACAAATTTATTCTATCGCTTAAGTTTCTAATAAAGAATTCTAATGATGTGAATATTTTAGATATTAGATGACTTTTCCAATGATTTCAGACGTACACCTGTGTATAAAAAATGAGAAATTTAAAATAATCCTAAATAAGAAGAAAAATTTTGTTTCCTAATTTAGAAAAAACGTATTTAACTTAAATTAAATTAATTAACTTAGATAATCTTTCTTCATTTTTTTCAAATAATTATACTGCATTTTAAATACGATAGCACCGATGGTTCATGTGGACGATTTGAATGCGCCTTTTGGTAGATAATTTTATTTTTCCTTGTAACACATATCTAAAATGAAAGAATAAAAACTCTT